TACACAGTTACTCAGAGCTACACAAAGTTACACAGAGCTACACAAAGTTAAACACAGCTACAAAAAGTTAAACACAGCTACACAAAGTTTTCACAAAGTTACACCGAGTTACACAGAGCTACACAGAGCAACACAGAGCTATACAAAATTATTCAAAATTACACAGAGCTACACCAAGCTGCACAGAGTTACACAAAGTTACACACAGCTACACAAAACTACACACAGCTACACAAAGCTACACAAAGATACGCAGAGCTACACAAAGTTAAACAAAGCTACACAAAGTTACACAAAGTTACATACAGCAAAAAAAGTTCACAAATTTACACACAGGAACACAAAGATACACAAAGTTGCACACAGCAACACTAAGCTACCCAAAGCTGCAAAAAACTACACAAAAATACACATAGCTACACAAAGTTACTCAAAGTTACACAAAGTTACACTGAGCTACGCAAAGTTACACAAAGGAACAAAAAGTTGCGCAGAGATACACACAGTTACGCAAAGTTACACAGAGCTACACAAAGTTACACAGAGCTACACAAAGTTACACAGAGCTACACAAAGTTACACACAGCTCCACAAAGTTACACAGAGCTACCCAAAGTTACACACAGCTACACGAAGTTACTCACAGCTACACAAATCTAAACGGAGCTACACAAAATTTCACAGAGCCACAAAAATTTACACAGAGCTGCACAAAGTTAAACAGAGGTACGCAAAAATACAAAGAGCTACACAAAGTTACATATAGTTACAAAAAGTTAAACAGAGCTACAGAAAAGTTACATACAGCTACACAAAGTTACAAATAGCTAAACAAAGTTACACAGAGCTACGCAAAGTTAAACACAGCTACACAAAGTTTCACAGAACAACACAACATTACACAGAGCAACACAAAGTTACATAGAGCAACACAAAGTTACACAGAGCTACACAAAGTTACACAGAGCTACACAAAGTTACATAGAGCAACACAAAGTTACACAGAGCTACACAAAGTTACACAGAGTTAAACAGAGAAACGCAAAGTTTTACAGAGCTAGCCAAAGTTTTACATAGCTACACAACGTTACACAGAGCTACACAACGTTACACAGAGCTACGCAAAGTTACACAGAGCTACTCAAAGTTACACAGAGCTACACAAAGTTAAGCAGAGCTACACAAAAAGATTCACAATTACACAAAGCTACGCCAAGCTTCACAGAATTACACAAAGTTACTCAAAACTACACACAGTTACACAATGCTACACAAAGTTAAACAAAATTACAAAAGCTACACAAAGTTACAAAAAGTTACTCAAAGCCTCACACAGCTACACAAAGCTACACAAAGTTACACAAAGTTACACAAAGTTACACAAAGTTACGCAGAGCTATACAAAGTTACACAAAGCTACACAAAGTTACAAAAAGTTACTCAAATATGCAGAGAGCTACACAAAGGTACACAAAGCATCACAATGTTACTCAGAGCTTCTTAACTAAATTACTCACAGTTAAACAAATCTAAACAAAAGTTACACACACAGCTTTACAATGCTACACAAAGTTGCACACAGTTACACAGAGCAACACAAAGTTAAACAGAGCTTAACAAAGTTACACAGAGTTACACAAAGTTTCGGAGAGCTACGCAAAGATACTCAGAGCTAGACTTCGTTATACAAACATAAACAGAGCTACACAGAGTTTTACAGGGCTACACAAAGCTAAACAAAGGCACACACAGCTACACAAAGTTACACAAAGTTACTCAAAGTTACAAAAAGCTACATAATCTTACAAAAAACTACTCAAAGCTTCACAAAGTTACTCAAAGTTTCACACAGCTAACCAAAACAACACAATGTTACAACCAGCTACACAAAAGATTCTCTCAAAGTTACCCAAAGTTTCGCAGAGCTACTCAAAGTTACACAGAGCTACTCAAAGTTACACAGAGCTACACAGAGTTAAAGAAAGTTACAGAAATATACACAGAGCAATACAAAACTACACTAAGTTACACACACCGCTTCACAAAAGTTAAACAGAGCTACACTAAGTTTCACAAAGCTACGATAAGTTTTACAAAGCTACACAAAGTTACTCTGATCTTCACAAAGTTACACACTGCTACACAGAAGAACACAAAGCTATTAAAAATTACGCAGAGCTACGTAAAGTTACACAAAGCTATACAAAGTTACCTAGAACTACACAAAGTTACACAGAGCTACACAAAGCTACATAAAGTTACACAGAGCTACACAAAGCTACACAAAGTTACACAGAGCTACACAAAGCTACACAAAGTTTCACAGAGCTACACAAACTTACAAAGAGCTACACAAATTTTCACAGAGCTACACACAGTTACACACTGCTACACATAGCTACTCAGAGCTGCACAAAGTTACTCAAAGCTACACAAAGTTACACACAGTTACACAAAGTTACACAGAGCTTCACAAAGCTACAGAAATAACACAGAACTACACGAAGTTACACAAAGTTACACACAGCTGCACAGATCTACACAGAGCAACAGAAAGCTACACAGAGCTACACAAATTTACACACAGCTTCACAGAGCTACACAAAGTTACACAAAGCTACACAGAGCTTCAAACCGTTACACAAAGTTAAACAGAGCCCTACATAGAGACACAAAGTTACAAAAAGCTACACAGCACACATCAAACGTTTCCGTGTCATCTGCCCTTCTCTTCCTTATTTCTATGATCTTCCTAAGACTCACAAACCTGGTGCTCCTCTTCGTCCTATCATTTCTTCATGGGGCTCTTTCAGCTATCCCCTAGCCTCCTGGCTCGCTAAAACTCTGACGCCTTACCTTGGCTCTTTTTCCCCTGCCCACCTTCGTCACTCTCAGGATTTCATAGAAAGACTGCGCCTGCAGCCCTCTTGTAAGATGCTTAGTCTTGATGTCGACTCTGTTCACTAATGTTCCGCTCGATGACGTTCTCTCTTTCCTTAGACAGAAGGCGAGTGAGGGCCTTCTTCCTCTCCCGCTTTCCACTGACGTTTTCCTCGAACTTATTAGACTGTGTTGACTGTAACTCTTTCTCTTTTAACAGTAGATATTACACTAAAACTTTCGGTGTCGCTATGGGTTCCCCTCTCTCCCCTGTTCTTGCTAATTTCTACATGGAATACTTTCGAAACTGTTCTTCTTCCTTCTATTGATACTGGTCCCTCTCTCTGGCTTCGCTATGTTGATGACATTTTTGCTTTATTGCCTCATGACCTTAGTCTTTTCCAGCCTTTCCTTTCCTCTCTTAACAATCTGGCTCCTTCTATCCATTTCAAAGTTGAGTGGGAATCTAATTCTCTTTCCTTTTTTTGACGTTCACATTCACAGCTCTGTGTTCGGGTTTTCTTTTTCTGTCTACCGCAAACCCATGCATAGTGGCATGTACATTCACTTCTTTTCCTACCATCCTCCTTCTGCTAAAAAAAACAGTGTCCTCGTCTCTTTCTTCCTCCGCGCTCTACACATCAGCGGCCCTCAGTTTCTTGATTATGAAATTGCCTTTATCTACAAATCATTCTTTCGCCTTGGTTATCCTTTGCGTTTTATCAACTGTGCCTATTCTCAAGCTAAAACGAAATTTCTTTCATCCTAAACCTGCTTCAACCATTAGTAGCACTGTGCTCTGCCTTCCCTTCATATCTGAACTCAAAACTTTTACTAATACATTTCGTCCTCTTGACATAAAGCTCGCCTTTCGACAAACTAACACACTTCGTAGCAATCTAGTTCACACGGCTCCTCCTGCTTCTATTGCTGCTGGTGTTTACTCTATTTCCTGCTCGTCTTGTCCTCTCCAATACTTTGGGATAACTGTCCGTACACTTAATGACAGACTTAAGGAACGCAAAAGAAGTGTTAAGTCTGCAGACTCAAACAATGCTTTCTTCTGTCATGTTAGGGATTCTAATCATCCTATTGATTGGTCTTCCTCCAAAATATTATTTCCTGCCTCTACTCTACACAGACGCCGTCTTGTTGAATCGGCTCTAATACACAATGTACCCAACATGAACTTGAGTCCTGGCTTTGTTGCTGTTGACTCTTCCCTTTCGCAGTATATACTCTAATGCTCTAACCTTCTTCTTGAGAAAAGGTGCAGTTTGCATGCAGTTTGCACCCTCCCGATGACTGCACCAGGACAGATGTTTGGAGACGCGGTGACGTTGAGGATGAGAAGAAAGTCAAAAGTGTTATAAGTGTCGAGCCGTAGAGAGAGGAGTAGCGACGAAAACAGAGGGCGGACGTTAGAGGGAGACACGCCGCACCATAGGGCAGGATGTCGAGTTCATGGCCACTAAGGAGGAAGGACTCGGCTGGGCTGACATTTACCTGTCGGGTGGATATTGGCGTCGTCAGAAACACTCTGTTTGCAGTTATGGGTGTGAAGGTGGAAGATCTCGTCGGTCTACAGGTTGTTCGTGACGACAGTGGTTGTGAAGTTCGCCGAGAGTGACTTGTTCCGGAGGTTTCTCGACCAGTATGAGGACAAGGTTCTGGGGCTGAGCAACGGTCTTGGCTCTGTGACTGTGACGAATTTGAGTGTGGTGTACACATACGTGTCTATTAAGAATGCGCCGTTTGAAACGTCTGAGGATGTTCTCCGTCGGGCTCCTGCCAGGTATGGGCGTGTGGACTCTATTCGTGCCTGTAGATACACAACCGGGGACGTCAAGGGACTCAGTAATGGTTACAGAACGGCTAAGATGGTTCTTCATGGGAATGTGCCTTCTTTCGCGCTTGCTGGCTTTACGGTCTGCTTCTCCTACCGTGGGCAGACTCGGACGTGTTTTAAATGTGGCCACGTTGGACATTTGGCTGCTGCCTGCGACACTCAGATGAATGATCGGGTTAATGTGTTTCATGAAGCGGATTTTCCTCCCTTGCCCTAACGTGAGGATGTCTCGGTTATGGACGATACCCCTTGTGAGAGGACGGCCGCGGTGATGGGTGCCGCTCCAGTAAGTGCGGTTGGTGGCGTGGGTGTCGGGGTGGTGGGGGGCGCAGACCCGCCCCCTCCATCGGCTTCCACACCTCCGCTGGCTCCGCCGGCCCCGTCTCCAGCTCCTGTGTCGCCTGAAGGGTGTGGGCCTGTACCCCCTGTGGGTGAGGCTGATGTTTTTCCGGATCGTGTGTTGCCCGGTGACTTGCGGCCGGCTGTGGGCTCTACTGGGATGCCTCCTGCTGGAGGCGACAGTTTGGATGATCAGAGGCCTCTGTCCAAGCGTTCCCAGAGGGCTAGGAGTGTGTCGCCCCCTCGTGGGTGGGCTGCAGAGTGTGAAGTTGTGGATGATGATGTGATGGAGGGGCCTGTGCGGCCTCCTGTGGCGCCTATGGCACCTGCTGCTGGTGCCTCCCCTCCTTGAGAGGTTGCCCCTAGTGATCGTGACCTCGTGGTGGTCCTTTACGAAAACTTTACGCCGGGAGGCGTCTGATCCTGTGCCCGGTGGTAGGGGCCCTGGCAGGTGTGCGTTCCCTGTGGTTCCCCCTGGAGTGAAGAACCGTGTGACTATCAGTACGGACCTCTGTGGCTACCCTTGTCCGTCCCCTGGTGCTCGTACCCTTCGTGCTGCACCCCCTCCCTGTGGTATCGGCCAATGGGGGTCCCGCTCGATGCGTCGCAGGCTTTGGAACTTACTGTGGATAGCCGGGTGTATCCGGCGCCATGGTGCCCCTATACTATTTGGGTACCGAGGGTGCAGTGTTTTGTTTATGGGGTGCCGGAGCTGATGCCTCAGCCTTGTGCGTTGCCTGGTAGACCGGTGTCTGATGATGTCAAGCTCGTTTGGGAGGCGTACTGCTTGCGGTTTCCGAAGAGGGAGTTTCCCGATATATATGCGTAGTTTTGTACTTGCATTCTATGTCCCAGAACATTTATAACTTACTGTATTGTCTGCTATGTAGTTGTTTTGTTTGCCTAGTTTAGGCCTTTGTGTAAATTGTTTGTTTTGTTCATACTGTAATGTGTTTTCCGTGTGTGTTACTGTTATCCTCTGTGTTGTGTTTCTAATGGTGTTCTGTGTGTGTGTGTGTGTGCTTCTGGTGTGTATGGTGTTTTTTTGCCAGGTCCTGCGTGTTCCGGTAGTTTTTTCCTGTGTGTCTGTGGTCGAACGATCGCGTGTTTCTGTACTGTGTGTGCCGGGTGTTCCGTGGATTGTGTGTGTGTATTGAAACTTTTTATTATTATGTACCTTTGCTTCTGAATGTTTATTTTGCGCCATTGTGTGGTTTTTAATGTATGTAACTTGGCGCACCCCGTCTGGGTTGTGCAGTTTCTTATTGTGTTTTCTAATGAATTCTGCTTGTTTCATGGGTTCTCATTTACGTTTGCTCTATGAAAATTGTCCACTGTGTTTTTATTGTGTTCAAATATGTTCGGCTTTTGGTGTGACATTTGTACCGTACTTGTTCTGTGTCGCTTGCATGTCAGTTGGTGTTATGTTGTTGGGTGGTGTGTGCTGGTGTAAGGTTTTTCTTTTAGTGCTTCGGTGCCTTAATGTTGTAATGTTTTCCTTGGCATGTATTTGTAAATAAATAAAAAAAGGGCCTTCTGCAGTTCTTATTCCTACTACTATCCCCTCTACTACACCTTACCTTTCGTACCTTTTGCCTTGCTCCTCACCGCTCTCTTGCCTAGATACCTGGTTGATACCTGGTTGATGGGGTTCTGGGAGTTCTTCTACTCCCCAAGCCCGGCCCGAGGCCAGGCTTGACTTGTGAGAGTTTGGTCCACCAGACTGTTGCTTGGAGCGGCCCGCAGGCCCACATACCCACCACAGCCCGGTTGGTCCGGCACTCCTTGGAGGAATAAATCTAGTTTCCTCTTGAAGATGTCCACGGTTGTTCCGGCAATATTTCTTATGCTTGCTGGGAGGACGTTGAACAACCGCCTATTTATTGCCATAATCACCTTCCCTCATTGGCACCACTCCTGTGCCAGGTAAGTCCACTTCGGGCTCAACATTGCCCGTGCTACTTACCCCGCTCCTGTGCCAGGTAAGTTACGGGCTCACCATAGCCCGTGCTACTTGCCCCGCTCCTTGTGCCAGGTAAGTTACGGGCTCACCATAGCCCGTGCTACTTGCCCCGCTCCTGTGCCAGGTAAGTTACGGGCTCACCATAGCCCGTGCTACTTGCCCCGCTCCTGTACCAGGTAAGTTACGGGCTCACCATAGCCCGTGCTACTTGCCCCGCTCCTTGTGCCAGGTAAGTTACGGGCTCACCATAGCCCGTGCTACTTGCCCCGCTCCTTGTGCCAGGTAAGTTACGGGCTCACCATAGCCCGTGCTACTTGCCCCGCTCCTTGTGCCAGGTAAGTTACGGGCTCACCATAGCCCGTGCTACTTGCCCCGCTCCTGTGCCAGGTAAGTTACGGGCTCACCATAGCCCGTGCTACTTGCCCCGCTCCTTGTGCCAGGTAAGTTACGGGCTCACCATAGCCCGTGCTACTTGCCCCGCTCCTGTGCCAGGTAAGTTACGGGCTCACCATAGCCCGTGCTACTTGCCCCGCTCCTGTGCCAGGTAAGTTACGGGCTCACCATAGCCCGTGCTACTTGCCCCGCTCCTGTGCCAGGTAAGTTACGGGCTCACCATAGCCCGTGCTACTTGCCCCGCTCCTTGTGCCAGGTAAGTTACGGGCTCACCATAGCCCGTGCTACTTGCCCCGCTCCTGTGCCAGGTAAGTTACGGGCTCACCATAGCCCGTGCTACTTGCCCCGCTCCTGTGCCAGGTAAGTTACGGGCTCACCATAGCCCGTGCTACTTGCCCCGCTCCTGTGCCAGGTAAGTTACGGGCTCACCATAGCCCGTGCTACTTACCCCGCTCCTGTGCCAGGTAAGTTACGGGCTCACCATAGCCCGTGCTACTTACCCCGCTCCTGTGCCAGGTAAGTTACGGGCTCACCATAGCCCGTGCTACTTGCCCCGCTCCTGTGCCAGGTAAGTTACGGGCTCACCATAGCCCGTGCTACTTGCCCCGCTCCTGTGCCAGGTAAGTTACGGGCTCACCATAGCCCGTGCTACTTACCCCGCTCCTGTGCCAGGTAAGTTACGGGCTCACCATACCCCGTGCTACTTGCCCCGCTCCTGTGCCAGGTAAGTTACGGGCTCACCATACCCCGTGCTACTTGCCCCGCTCCTGTGCCAGGTAAGTTACGGGCTCACCATAGCCCGTGCTACTTGCCCCGCTCCTGTGCCAGGTAAGTTACGGGCTCACCATAGCCCGTGCTACTTGCCCCGCTCCTGTACCAGGTAAGTTACGGGCTCACCATAGCCCGTGCTACTTGCCCCGCTCCTGTGCCAGGTAAGTTACGGGCTCACCATAGCCCGTGCTACTTGCCCCGCTCCTGTGCCAGGTAAGTTACGGGCTCACCATAGCCCGTGCTACTTGGAACTTGTTCCGAGTAGCTGAATCTATAACAACAACAACAACAACCTCATCACAATCGACTTGAGAATGGTCCAGGACGGACCGTAACGTCGTCGTCCCTTCACCTTCTAGTGTGTGGTCTGGTCAGTTTACACAGAGCTACACACAATTAAACAGAGCTACACAAAGAGACACAGCAACATAAATTTACACAGAGCTACAAAAAGTTACACACAGCTATAAAAAGTTGCGCAGATCTACACAAAGTTTCTTAGAACTACACAAAGCTACACAAAGTTTCACAAATTTATTTAGTGCTATACAAAGCTTCAAAACATTACACAGAGCTACACAAAGTTACACAGAGCTACACAAAGTTACACAAAGCTACACAAAGTTACACAGAGCTACACAAAGTTACACAGAGCTACATAAAGTTACGTATAGCTACACAAAGCTACACATACAGCTACACAAAGTTTCACAGTTACACACAGCTACACAAAGTTACGCAGAGCTACACAAATTTACACAGTTACACAAAGCTACAAGTCAATACACAAAGCTAAACAGAGCTTCACAAAGAGACACAATGTTACAAAAAGCTACATAAAGCTACACACAGCAACACAAAGTTACACACAGCTGCACAAAATTACACTGAGCTACATAAAGTTACACAGAGATACACAAATTTACACTCAGCTACATAAAGTTACATAGTGCTACACAAAGTTAAACAGCTCAGGCTGTTTAACTTTGTGTAGCAAAGTTAAACAGTTAAAGTTTTAACTGTTTAACTTTCCAAATTGCGGCCGACCCCAATCAGTGCACTCGCCATACCCCATGTTTATGAATGGAAAACGGTTTATACTCACAACTGTTGACGTTCGAACACTTCCGGAACAAGTGCTTCACGTTGTGTTCGAACCACAACGCTGTAAATGCTTCGGGGAATTTTCTCAAATATAAATTAATTTTATAATATAGTAGTATATTGTGCATATATAGGCATAGAATAGGTTAGGTTAGGTGTTTAGGTTCTGTTGGCGATTATTTGTATATACAGTACATGGGTGAAGCATTTATAGCGTTGTGGTTCGAACAAAATTCGTCAGTGAAGCACTTGCTCCGGAAGTGTTCGAGCGTCAAAGTTGTGAGTCGTGTGTAAACAGCTTTTCATTCACAAACATAGGGTTTGGCGGGTGCATGGAATAACTTTTGGGTCTTGTTTTGGAGGACGGACTGAATCCCGCAGCCCGTCCTCACAAACAAAGATCCAAGCTCGTTAATCTAGCCGCCAAACCCCCTGTTTATGAATGAAAAAGCTGTTTACACACGACTCACAACTGTTGACGTCCGATTACTTCCGGAACAAGTGCTTCACTCATGTCCTGTGTTCAATCCCCAATTCTATAAATGCTTCACCCACGTATTTCAAGTGCAATCGCCAACCAGCCCGTCCTCCAAACAAAGACCCAAAAGTTATTCCCGTGCACCCGCCAAACCCTCTGTTTATGAATGAAAAGCTGTTTACACACGACTCACAACTTATTTCATTCGAATTTCAACTGATTTCTCTGACGAATTTTGCTCAAACCACAATGCTGTAAATGCTTCACCCACATACTATAAATATAAATAATCGCCAACAAAACCTAAACACCTAACATATATGCACAATATGCTAATATATTATAATATTATTTTATATATGAGAAAATTCCCGTTTTGAATGAACAGCGTGTTAAAATTTATGAATGCGTCTATGGGGTCGACCGCTGGATGAAAAGGACTTGAGCCGAGGGCGGGTTGCGCCAACAGAACTTAATCACATAACCTAACCTAACCTATGCCTAATTATACATAGTATTTTGAAAATTAGTTTGTATGAGAACAAACTAATTTTCATTACACAGTATTTATAAGTGATAAATGCGTCTGGGGGAGGACGGGCGCTACTTTAACCAGCCTAGTGTGAGGGCAGGTTGAAACCAC